AATCTCTTTGTGATTGCAATCCTCCAGCCATTTACCTGGGAGTAAGCTTAACTAAATTCAAATGAATTCAACATCTGTTTTTTCAATTAGAAGTACAAAACAATCTTGCCAAGAAATGCTGCCCTTTAAACTTTCATGGAACCCCATGAAAGAGGAAGAAATATTTATGCTTAACCATTTCTTCTGTTTTTCCTTGGTTATTGTAACCAATCACAAAGAATAGTAAAGCTTGAAAGCCTCATTATCACCTCATTCATTTAGCAGGAACAGATCATCTCTTTACTCCTGCTTCAACTATATTAATATAGGAACTATATTAATCCACCACTATATTTCTGCATAATAAGAATGACCTGACTTTATTCAAGGCCACCATGTGTTTCTTTATAAATCACAGTTTTGGATTTGCCTGCTCAGAGCATTAACACTCGCACAAATATGAGGGGAAACTTCATGTAAAGGCAAGTCATTGCCACATGTCTCTGACTGGAAAATGATTCAAGGACCTAAACAGCCACAATGGCTTGCAAATAGACAATATTTAAGCTAATAATAGTGAGGATCAGTGAATGGAATAAAAAAAACATAAGCAAACCCAAAATATATTCAATGCAGTAAGGTAAAACAACATACTGAAAACACCCTTCTCAGCAACCAGTCTCTCAGGGAAAGCTTACCTGAAGAGAAAGGTCTTTGCCTTCTTGCAGGACAGCAAAGATGGGGCCAGCCTGGCCTCCAGTGGGAGGGAGTTCCAAAGTCTAGGAGGAGCCACAGAGAAGGCCCTCTCCTGTGTCCCCACCACCACCAAGGGCCCTTGTGGCAGGACTGAGAGAACAAGCCACAAATCAACACGTGAATAAATATTTTTGGGGACCGGTTCAAATGCCAAAGAAGTGTGCAAGCTTCCAATTCCTCCAATTCTTCTTCCGACTGAGAGGTATGGAAACCATCCGAGAGCACAAAAATAAACGAGGCAGTCGAAAAACATGTCCAGATGTCGCTGTGGCCCTGAAGTCAGCCATTCAAGTCTGTCTCAAGGGGGAGGTTTCAGACTGACTCACAGGCAGGTGTGAAGGTATCATATTACACCTAGCAATACATCCTACAATAAAGAAGAAATTGTAGCTCTTTGTTTCTGAAAAACAAGTGAGAGAGCTACACTCAAACAATTCTACAATTTTTTTTCATGATTTGTTGGACTTTCACTGGAACTTGTCAGTTGCTCCTAAAAGATATTGCCCAGATGAGCATTTTGGTTTTGTTTTTAATTTATTTCTATTAGAACAACAACAGTACACTCATTTGGAATAACAACAAGTTTTCAAAAAGTGCACACTAGAGGTCCTGCTAGGAGATAAAATAAAAAAAATCATAGTCCTTTCTTTTTTTCAGACGTAAATCATGACCGTAACACTTCACTTCCATAGATGTCTGCTCAAAAGTAACTCTTCGGTGGGGATTTACTTCCAGGTAAGTGGATCTAGTTTGCAGCTTTACAGTACATACCTGTGTCTACTCAAAATTAAACTCTGCTGAGTTCAATGATGTTTACTCCCAAGTAAAGGTAGAAGTGATTGCAACCAACATTTTTGGTCCACAAATTGGATAGTGTAATCATATTCTACATTCAGATTTTTGTCTCTTTCAGAATTCTGAAGCTGGACAATAATAAGTATTGTGATTAATTTTGTGTTTTATTATGTACCAGAATGAAACATTAATAAATTCAACATTCAAAAAATACAACCCAATCACTGAAGAAGTTTTATTTGAGTACTTTTTTTTTCACATTCTATATTTTATGTAAGAACACTGCAGTGGCCTCCCAGCTAGTAAAAGTACCTATAGCTTAGGGAAATTTAACAGTATAAAATGCACACATGCTACATGTTAGCTGATTAAACCTCAATTTATTTTTCTAAGATACATTGGAATTAATTTCCAGTTAAAACTTCTAAGCTAAAAAAGAGCATATTACAAAATTATCATTTTCAAGGATACCACCCCAACAAAAAAGAAACTTTGAATAGGAGCTTCGTGGCATCATGGTTAAACTGCAGTACTGCAGCCAAAACTCCGCTCACAATCTAGATTCAATCCCAGGTAGGAGGCTCAAGATTAACTCAGCCTTCCATCCTTCCAAGGTTGGTAAAAACTGAGTACTGTACGCAGCTTGCAGGAGTGGAGGCAATGTGTAGCCTTCGTAATTTAATTGTAAACTACTCAGAGAGTGCTTTAAGAGCTATGGGGAGGTATATAAGCAGCATGTTTTGCTTTTTAATCACGGAAAACTGGGCAAAAAAAAAAAACCACACACAACTGACCGCCGGATTGCAAATTGTGACTTGAGAACTCCAAGTGGATGGAGCCAACTGAAAGAAGGACCCGAAAAAAAAAAGATATTTAGTGGCACTTTTGAGGACCAGCAATGCATCTGGGCTGACACCTTTAAGGCAAGGAATCCAATCAGTTAGGCCCAATCCATACGGTCATGTATTAAGGTGACGGTCAGTAGAATGGCAAAGCCAGCATGGATTGATATATTCTGGGTAATCCAATCCATTTTGGGAAGGTTCAAACACCTGTCAAGATCACAACATATTGTGTTCTGGAGAATGCTAGCCATGTGGATTGAACCAGGTGGAATTTGAAAGGGACTAAATAAAGGAGTGGCAACAGAGACTTTCCCCCAAAGAGCAGAAATCTAGAAACGAAATTAATCTGATGATTATTAGGAGAATAATCCCCCTGGCCCTATTTGTCCCCCCCCCTTTTTTAAAGCATAACCCTCTTTTTTTTGGGGGGGGGGAGCGACACACCACTTTTCATGTTCCCATGCATCAGAGGTCAGTTAGTGAGAAGCAATGCTTGTTCCCCCGGGTGGCAAAGTGATAGTTACAGCCCTAGTGATCCACGAGTTTTCATCTTTTCTTCTTTTTTCCAGCATATGGCCTAGTGCACATTTAAAAACACAACCCATCTGTATGTATTTAAGGTTACCCATGAGCCTGTGCTGAGTGCCAAGGTCCCACCTGCTTAGCACGAGGGAGTAAACCTTCTAAGGCAAATGGTTGAGCTCCCATACAGCCCTTTCTACTGGCATCTCTCTCTCTTTCAAAATTCAAGTGCTGCCCACACACCGCTCCACAGCAAAGAATACAAAAATACATCTTTAAAACATTTATAGCTTAGCTAAAATGATTGCTGCTCCACTGCAAAACTTTAAACCAGTAAAAGGGTAGATGAAAGTGCTTTAAACCAGGATGGATTTATTTGTCAGTGTAGTCTGGCAGTATCATCTCTGACTGGCAGAGCCAGAATCACGTCTGCCCTTCCAGAACAATATTGGTGAAGCACATCTCCCAGCATCCACTTACCATAGGCTAGGGATGATGGGCACTGCAATCCAACTATGTCTGGAACACTGCACATTTCCCATCCCTTCTCTCCGGGATCTCAGAAAATAGCATCCTTCACCTTTGGCTCTGCTGAAGGGAACTAGTCCAACATCATTTGCAGAGAGCCCCATGATCCTCTCCCCATATGTTTCAGCTATCGTCGTTTAATCATGTCTGACTCTTCGTGACCCCATGGACCAGAGCACGCCAGGCCCTCCTGTCTTCCACTACCTCCCGGAGTTGGGTCAGATTCATGTTGGTTGCTTCGATGACCATGTCCAACCATCTCGTCCTCCGTCGTCCCCTTCTCCTCGTGCCTTCACACTTTCCCAACATCAAGGTCTTTTCCAAGGAGTCTTCTCTTCTCATGACATGGCCAACCTCTTCCGCTGTTCTGCAGAAGAGGTTGGCCATCTCATGAGATGTTTCCGCTATACCTGATCATTTAAGTCCTGCCTCAGAGACACTGGCCTTCCCGGTGTTTCTGGTTCCACATCAACTTAGCCAGCATCGCCAGTGGTGAGAGCTGATGGGATCTGCAGCAAAAATTACTAAGTGGAGGCTATGGCATATGGGCTCATATAATCATCAAAAACACTCATCAAAAAAAGATAAGAAAGCCGGGAAAAGTTGAAGTTATTAGGAAAAGAGGAAAACTCAACATGAGATGGATTGACTCGTAAAGGAAACCACAGCCCTGCGTTTACAGGACCTTAATCAGGGCGTTGCTGATGGGCTCATTGCAAAGCTATTAGCTCCTAGGGGCGCCATAAATCGGGAGTGACTTGGTGACAGAACAATAACAGGAATTGCAAGCTAAAAAATCTCGCAGGCAGCCAACGTTTGCCCCCTATTGACTTAACTTGAGATGCCAAGGGCCTTTTCAGTTTCTGAAAGTTCCAGCAGGCGCTGTAACGACTAGGGATGCCCATGAAGGGCGGGAGGAAAACCCCTGAGCTGCTTTTGGGCATTTTTGCAAGCCGTTCGCTGTGCTGCCCAGCTCACCTGCTTCTTAGCAGAAGCAAGGCCGGCGTTCTCACCTCCTGGGTCTGGACGTCGGAAGGATCTTAAATCTACAGAGTCCGGGGGGGGGGGAGGCGGCGAATAAGGACAGCCACGTGCACCCGATCAAGGGGAAGAAAACATCCCAGCCTGCCCTACTCGGACGCTTTAAAAAAATTGCAATAATTAATAGGCATTTGCTCCACCGGCGGAGACCAGGGAGGGAGAGACGGCAGCTGCCGGCAGCTCAAGCTGGCATCCCCGGCACAGGTGCGGAGCGCCCGATCTGGTTGAAAAAGTTGGCCCCCTCGGGTTTCACCGCCACCACCCCCTCCATCTCTCCTCCCCGGCTACAGAATCCCCCGCGGCCGCCCGCTCGACGCCTCCTCGCCAGCCCCCAAACTCCAGGCTCCCTCCGCTGGCTGCGATCGGCGCTGCGTCGGAGGAAGAGGAAGGCGGCGCGGAAAGGAAGCGCCGGGCGCCGCCGGGACGCGAGCGGAGCCACCCCCATCACCACCACCCCCGGGAGGGCGCGCTCCGGTCTTCCCAGAGCCGGCGTCGGCTCTCCGGGGACGCTGTGGTTCGGCTTCTCCCGCCCGGTGGCGCTTTCCCTCGGGATCCCCCCGCTTGTTGCGCAGCCTGGCGCTCGGGCGCATGGAGAGGCGACCATGAGCCGCCACCACCACCTGCGGCCGGGCTGAGGAGGAAGAGGAAGAGGAGGAAGAGCAGCCTTCTTCGCGTCCTCCGCTTGTGGCGCGGAAGGGCCCCCGGCCCCACCGACCGGCTCCTCCTGGGGCGCCTCGCCGGGTCCCCGCCTCCTCTCCAGCCCGCCTCCGGCGTGGCAACGGCAGGCGCCGCCGCTTGGTAAGTTTCCA